CTGTTAACTGAAATATATCAATTGGTATACCATCTATTCCTGGAGCCTTATTTTTGGCCATGTCCTTCAAAGCAGCCTGAACTTCTTCTTACATCACGAAAGGCTAAGTAATTAATTCTAGAGATCCCTGGTTTAAACTATGGCAAGGCCACTTATTTTTCATCATCTACTCATAAGGCGGGAGCTCTGGTGAAATAGTGGTAATTAATTGTTTGGTCAACTCAGAGACACATGGTTTGAATCCATCAGCTGAACTGTAGGAGAAAGATGGTCAGTCAGTCTCCTCTCGTGCAATTAATTGCCTATGAAAACCTACTGGAAGGTGAACTATGAGTTGGTCCCTAATCAATAACATACAACAACAAATACTCAAAAGAAAGTTATATTACAAAGAAGTCAACGTTATTAAATTAAAGAATAACAAACATACAATAAGCATATTATTGATAAATTTTTTACATAATTCTCAATTAGATACATTTAAGAAAATCTATCATGTTTGTCTTTTACCTGCTTGATGCATTAACAAGTGTCTTCAAGCTGCTTGGGTTGCGGATCAGCTTGTCCAACATATTTACTATTTCCTCAAACTTGGGCCTGCTATTTCGATCTTTCTGCCAGCAATCCAGCATTAATTGGTAGAGAGCAGCAGGACAGTCCATAGGACTTGGCAGACGGTAGCCTTCTTCTACCGCTTTAATTACCTGCATGAAACAAAACAGAACCCAACCATTCCAATTTAATATAGAATCGTGTGAGACATTCCCATAGTGTAATTTCCATCATTTCTCTTTTAATTTTGATAAATATCAACCAGAATGAGTATCTTTAAAATTTTTAGTCATGTCTAGTCACATCATAATAAAACATTTATTAACATGTATAAATCTATATTTATGTTGTTTGGTGCTGTCAACTAGGTAAAATGGCATAATACGAAAACCAGATAAAAAACTTGCTTTATCTTAACTATCTTCACAATCCACCTTATTCAAGCCTATAGTTACTATGTTGCTCTGTCTCCTTGAGGGTCTTCATCCCTTTAACTGACCTTCTCTGCTTCTAAACACAATGCATTTTTCCTTATTAAAATATGCCCAAGGTATATGAGGCACTAACAGTTTCAATCCTTTATTCATCTATCATGATGTTGTCCACTGGTCCAGTAGTAAGAACCTTTGCCTTTTTGATGATAGGATACAATCTATTTTGAAGGCCGTAGACTTTGGTCTTTTGGTGCTTCAGACCCTCTTTCAGATTATATCAGTTAAAAGACTAAGATGCACCTTATTCAGACCATAATCTTCTCTAATAAATCCCCAAACTATGAATAAAATCAGTGAGTTTTACAACAAATATCACACTCAAAGATTGATAGAAAAAGGTGTAGAAGCATGGGGTCTGGATTATCTCATCTTGTAGCTATTTTGGTTGTTGTTGTTGTTGTTATGTGCCATTGAGTCATTAGCGACTCATAGCGACCCTATGTGCAACAGCCCTAAACTGTGCTCTATCGTGTACCAATCACACTGCCTCTGACACCCCCATCCCGATTACCCCAGTCACTGAATCAATCCACCTCATAGAGGGCCTTCCTCTCCTGCGCTGTCCCTCTACTCTACCCAGCATGATGTCCCTCTGTAAAGACCTCTCCTTACAACATGTCCATAGTATGTCAGATGCAGCCCCAGAATCCTTGCCTCCAAGGAGCAGCCTGATTTAACCCTCTCTAGGATGAATCTGTTTGTTTTCTTGGCAGTCCATGGTACATTCAATAAATACTCTTCTCCAGCACCACAATGCTGGTGAAAATTCCCCTTTATGAAGTGGGTAGTAGTCAGATTTAGACTCCTCTACTTTGCATCTGCTCCTTATGTATTTTTCAAATGAAAAATTATATGCAGAGCTCTATATTTTAAAAGTGATAGAACTGCAATTTTATTTCAAAAGAGACTTTTGGATGGTTATGTATGAATAAATCAAAGGTTAAATTAGTGAACTGCCATAGGTGTTATTTAATAATGTCACGGTCTGACTGCTATTACCATCTAAAATTTCTGTTAGACTGACATGGACGGGGGTTGAGTGGTTGTCATCGTGTTGCTCAATCCGATGGATGGGTGTAAAGGAAATGAGAAAGATCTTGTGTAGGATATTAATGTATTTGGACTTTTTTAAATACATCAGTATAAAATTAAAAATAATAACAAATGAAAAAGTCCCGACCATACACTACATATTACAAAGCTTAAAAAGGAAAAAATAAACAAATATACCATAGTAAGATGTCTAAGTTTATGGCAAAATAAAATTATCTCCTTTGACTTTGTTTCTCAAGTAAAACATAACACCCAGGCTACATTGTCTTAACATGAGGGTTGATTTGAGCAAAAAGACACAGATTAACTGAATGCAACAGAAATAAGCACACACAACTACAATAAACAGAGAGACAGTGGTGTTTTCCCAAAATATATTACATTCTCTTGTTACCTTTTTTGTCTTTTTGAAAAATAACAATACATTTATATTAAAATAAAGAGGAGAATTTCTAACTGGTTAAAGAGAAAAAAAATATATATACATTTCTGATGTAAAGTTTGGTAATTCCAGAATAGATTTCTTTATGCTGATGAATATAATAATAACATATTTAAATCAATTATTAAAAATATATTTTGGTTTTTTTTTATGTTCCTTCAAGTTGGATATGACTCCTAATTGACATTTCAGTCAGTTTTCTGAGGCAGAAATCAAAGAGGTGATTGTCATTTTCCCAAATTAAATATTTTAGTACTGCTCAAAACATTAGCTGTTTCACTATATACCACCACATTAGAGTCACTTCTGACCTATCCGTGGGATTTCAGAGACAGTCAATCACATGAGTCACACGGGAGTAGACCACTCTTCTTTCTCCCGTAGAGTAGTTTGTGCATTTGAACCATGCTCAAATTGGCCGCACAATTCCTTATCACTAAGCTACCAGAGTTCACAAAAACAAAAATAGTTAATATATTTATAAAAATTTTATTATACATGTTTCCTTAAAAGAGTTTAATAAAGTTATATTTTCTACATGAAGAAGAAAGTTGATTTGTAAAAAGTAGGAAACTATAATTATCAAAATGAAAAAGCACAAAAATAATTCTTAGAGAAATGTCTCTTCTGCTAAAAAAAGGATCCTAAATAAATACTTAAACAAATGAAAAGAATAGAGATTATGTAGAGAATTTGATATGTAAAACTGAGTAAAATAAATTAAAGCTTATCACACTGAACGGAGGGTTTTAGTTAACTTCAGAAAAGCACATGTAATGGATTAAGCATATTGCCAGATATAATATAGAGCTTCTTTTATTTGAGATGAGTGAGGCAAAACTTGATGGTAATTTACAGAATCTGGCCAGCGAACAAAAGACATTTGAAATGATACTATGTATGTGAGATTCACAGCAGATCTGAACACAGGTGGGTAGTTTATATCACCCTGGGAAAAGCAAGAAGAAAAGTTCCTTAAAAGCACCAATAATTAAGGTGTAGGCAAGAAATAATAAGCATTCAAGAATTGTGTAAAGAAATGACCAGATAAATTATGGGATGATTAGAAGCGATCACTTCAGTTACTCTCCATAAACCAAAGGTATATAAACAATTAAAAAAAAATACCAAAGGGAAACTATTTTAAATAAAGAAAAAGTGTTTAGCATCTTATATAATATATGGATATATATTATACTTACATAGTATATGAAAAAAACAAAGTAATAAGATGTAATAATAATAGATACTAAGTCACAGATGACAAAATTTCTGAAAGTCAAACAAGAGATAAAAAGAACCTAATGCTAAAAGATATAAAGTAAAAGTACTCTTTCAATATATTTTCACATCATTTTACTAACATATGATCAAACAATCTTTCTAACCACTTAACCACTTTCACAAGTGTACATTTCTATTCTGTGTAATTTGTCTAATAGACTAATTTTATTTCAATCATTAAAGTATTAGAAAAAAAGAATACTTTGTTAGCATCGGTTGTGAAATTTTGTAAAACAAATATCAAATTAAATTACACATGTATTTTTATGGAAAGATATTGTTTTCCCCATATACTAAGATCATGTAAGGTTGTTTACTATAGAACTTCTCGGTTTTTGCAGGAATAGAGGCTATTCTCTTTTAAAATGTATGTATGTAAAAATAAAGAGTTCTAATATGAACAGTTCAAATTATGAAAACCTTTGTCTATACAGTGAAAGCATATGGGAGAAAGATAAGTTAGTACTTACAAAAATGCAATTAAACAAATTATTAATTAGGTTTTTATGTTCTGAAAAATGTTGACATTTTAAATGTTTGCTATTAATAAATAGTCTTCTATTGACTGCAGGATATTATCTTGACTGCCCGAGCTTGAATCAAAGTTCATGGTTTGATATTTACCTAAAATCATCTCAGTCATTCTAATTTATTTTCATTGTGAATTGTTCAGACTTTTCTCTTTTATGACTAAGGCAATACTAAATCAAAAGAAATCTATTGCTGCATTCTGTACTCTTGATAGAAAGGTCTCCTCTGAGAGATTTAGATTATACTGCTGTGTCTCAGTAATGTAACATTTTCTTAGTGACAAAGTCCTTTTAAAACCAGATAGCATCTGGAATGTGAAGATTATAAAATATATCATTTGAAAATTTTGAGTCGATGTTTCTAGTTTGATTCATGGGAATTTGTTTCTCATAAGGAGCTATTCAATGATCCTGATCTTCACATAGGCAGATCTGTGAAGTTTCTTGACTACAGATTGGGTTACAAATTGGGACATAGGAAATTTAGTGCTTGCTGAGTAAATAGCAGATTAGGCATGGGGCATTGCATTAAAAGCAAACATTTTAGAGTACAGTCATTTCCTGTAAACCTCATTTGTGGTTGTTGTTGATTGCCTTTGAGATGAGCACACCTCTTAGCAACCGTATGAACAAAAGGCCTGAAGCCTTTCTATAACTACTGACCTTTATCTAAGTTCATAGAGTTTCTGGAGGCATGTTGTTTAGGAAGTAGATGCCACTCCTGTTTAAAAACCAACCAAAGCCAAAATATTAATGTATTTTTTCTTGTGACTTCTTGAAAATATTACATTAACACTCCCTTTTGATTTTCCAAATGCATTGAAATAAAGTTATCTGAAAGAGTATCAAGCCTCTTAAATGATTAAACAAGGAAAAAAAAGAATTAAAATAAAATAACCAAAAAAGGCAGAGAAATTACCCATGAGAAAAAAAGGTTAGGTAATGCGACATAGTCAAAATAACAAGCATGAAATAAATAAAAACAGAAAACAGAGACATAAGATTTAAAAAAAATTACAACTGCTTGAATAAGTTCTATTAAATGTGACCCTACTACTTTAAGCTTCACTATTTTTAAGACTTTCTCTACTTAACTATGTAGTATTAAGCCAATGTGAGCAAGGCAATTAACCTACCTCTTGAACTATGATATTTGTCAAAGGGAATTTAGCATACTTTTTACATACAAGGAATCTCTGGAGGCCTAGTCCATAGGGGGTTTCCCTGCTATCTTAACGGCCTGACCTTTCTGGCAGTATGAATCCACCAACAATTTTGTGAGAGAAATATGGCCAATCCTTTCCATGCTATTCACAATCAAAGAAACTCAGTGGAGGGTCTGATATAAA